AAAAAAAAAAAAAAAAAAAAAAAAAAAAAAAAAAACCCAAAAAAAGACTAGAATTGGGAAATTAGAAAATACCATGTAGGAAAAAAATTAAGGTTCCTATAATACAGATTTAAATACATGACTGAGTAGAAAATCAGTGTTGACTCCTGCATAGATATTTGCTACACGATGGTCAGTTCTGCACTGATTACCTTAAACTGGTTTTCTGCTCCAAGGCACTTAACAGTACAAGATTCAAGACCTTACTGAAAGTAGTAACATGGCTCCAACCTATCCTTTCTTGTTATGAGGCCGCAATCACGCTCCAGTAACAGGGTCCCAAGTTGCCCCTACCTGGCCTCTAAGGTCTGGGAGGCAGTCCAGACCTCCGACCACCCTCTGCTCACATCACTCCAGCTTCCCGGAGGGTGCTCTGGGGCGGCCATCGGGAGAGTGGAGAGACCTTGGGCGGGGTTGGAAGAATGTTAGGGGACGCGTAAATCTGGGCACCGCCCTGGTAATCCAGGGCAGATGGGGCGACCTGGGCAGAGGGCCAAAAAGGGAGCCCTATAGAAGACTCGCAAGTCCTAAGGCAACAGGTGGCCCCGGCGCCTGGGGAACTGGAAGTGGTGGTGTCCCGGTCTCCAAGGGCGGGCCCTGAGCCCTCATCACTTCCCCATTGGCTATCAGAATCGCCAATGCTCAATTTTGGATGACTGTATCCTTCCGCCAAGGAAGGTAGTCCTCCTCTAAAGGGCAACCTGCCCGTCCCGCCTCCACCGCGCTTCTCTCCAAAGGTGCGGACGCCCTGCGAAACGCGAGAGGCGGGGCTCCGCTGGCCGCCGCGGGGATTGGACGAGGGGCGGGGCTGCGGAGGGATTGCTGCGGCCGGCAGCTGTGATAACCTTGAGGCCCAAGAGGCGCAGTCCCGCACAGCAGAGACTCCTCTCGACCCTTCAGTCGGCCGACTTGGGTATCGTTGCAGGATCCGGAGCACCCCCGAGGTGAGAGGGGAGAACCTACGCCATCCGTGTCCAGTGCCGACGCCCGCTACTGGGTAACGCAGGCCTGCCTGCGCACGCGGGACCCAGACGCCTGGTATCGTGCATCCCAGTCCGGGTTGGGGGAGAAGCTACACTCGAGCCCAGGTCCTGAACTTCCAAAGACAGAGAGGCCTTACAGCCCCTTCCCCACACGCTAGTTCTGGCCCCTCTTCCTTCTCAATCTGCTTCCACCCTCTTATCTTGCTGCTGCCATCCTCTCCACCCTGTTCTCTCCCACTCCGATGCTCATCCTCCTGCATTCACTGGTAGTTCTTTCGCCCTTCATTTTAGCTCTGTGCTCTTCCCCTCCCTCCTTCGGTGACCTCCTTATAATCTCTCCTTTAAATAACTCTGCCGCTCCCCCCCCCCTCCCTTGTGCCCCGCATTTATCCTCCGTTCAGGTCAGTGTGCTCTTCCCGCGTCCGTCTTCGCTACTCCGGGTCGCCCCTCCCCCTCCATTCCGGTCACGTCCGCGGCACTGCATCCCTTCAGCATCCGGATCCTCGCCCCTCCCCCTCCGCGCAACTTCCCCCGCCCCCCGCATTCTGGTCACGTCCGCCGAGTCCCCGCTAGCCCTCGTGGTCCGGTGCGTGTAGGTAGGATGCAGTCAGTGGCAGTCCCGGGAGATGTATCCACGGGTTATGTAACGTCAGTCTTCCCGGTTGGCCGTTATTCCTTCCTATTTTGTGCGACCGCAGATTCCTCCGGTTGCCCGCGAGGCACTGGTGCTCCGGGCTTCCCAATCCTGCGGGGCGCCGGCAAGTTCTCTCGCGCTCCATCCTGCGGTGGCGGGGCTGCACGTACGGCAGGGCGCCTGGACCAGCCGGTCACGCCGCGCCCACGTGCTGGAGAAAGGGTGGGGGGTGGAGTGGGCGATCAACCCAGAGAGGTTTCCGTGTGGAGCTGGAGCCCGCAGAGCTCAATCTAAACAGGGAAGCAAAATTTGTCAAGTCAGTGCTGTGAGGAAGATGGAGCTGCACAGGGTGGTCCATACGTTGGGTTTTGAAGAAGCAGGAAAGCACCAAATCTGAAGGTTACATAAAAATCCAGTCATGGATGCCGGGCGGTTGTGGTGCACGTCTTTAATCCCAGCACTCGGGAGGCAGAGGCAGGCGGATCTCTAGTTCGAGACCAGCCTGGTCTACAAGAGCTAGTTCCAGGACAGGCTCCAAAGCCACAGAGAAACCCTGACTCGAAAAACCAAAAAAAAAAAAAAAAAAAAAAAAATCCAGTCATGGAAAGATGTCTCTTGATCACCGCTTCTAAACCGAAGGAGATTGATAGGATTAAGAGCCTCACAGTGAAGGGACAGTTCTGCGTGTGGGCAACGGGGGGATATAAACAGGTTTTTGGAATCCGGGGTGATTTATTTATTTTCTGAGGTGGTTCAGCCTCTGGTCCTGTGTCACGAGTAAAGACGATTGCTCCAGGCTGCTGAAGTTACTGGTCTCCGTGTAAGTAGGGGGCATATCCAATGCGGGGAGTCATCTCGGGTGAAATGCTCTGAAGAGCATGCATACGTCCCTTTTTCTCAATGAATGAGATACAGTTAGATTGAAGGCCTCCCTGCTGTTCCTATACATATTGAGGCTAAGCTTGGGGAGGCAGGAAGGCTCTGAATACCCAGTATCCCCTGGAAACGAATTCTCTTTGGAATCCGGTAGGTGTTTACAGTGTAACTACCGTTACATTGTAACTCTCCTGAGAAAGGAGCTTGCCATCTAAAGGGAGAAATGCGGCGTCCTTTGTCTTCCTCTGTAATGGTAGAAACAAAGAGGCGGATATCCAGATCGATGTTTTCTGATTCTCGTTCCCGACTGTTCAATGTAAGACCGTTCATCCTGCTGACTTGTAGGAAGTAAGGTTTGGAGGCTGTTGCAGTAAGTTCTGTTGCCACAATACTCAGGGTGTGGCGCTTTCTAGGGTGCAGAGGGGGAGGACCTTGGGTTAGGATTCAAGGTACCATTGTTAGGCAACAATTTGCCTTCTGGTGGCCTGAGGATGCTGTAGGTAAGGAGTGAGCCTGTTCTGTGGGAAAGTGAAGTTAGTGGAAACCATCATCGGGTCTGGGCAAGATGACTCAGCCTTTCAACTTAGAGGCGTTTGAGAAGATTTTCTTCCTTGGGTGAGTGGGAAACCTGGTTCTTCTAGATGTAGTGAGCCCCCTATTTAGTGAGTCAGATGCTGAACTAGCGTGCATTTCCCCAAGTTAACAGGCCTCACCCAGGCTGTGTGGTGCTGCACACAACTTTTTAATTCCAGCACTGAAAAGCAGGGCCAGGACAGCATCTCGTTGAGTTTTAGACCAGCCAGGCTGTGAAACCCTGTCTCAAGTGCGTGGGTGGCAGCAAAATGCAGAGTCTATACCATCCTTCTTGACTAGTAGGCACAGCAGTCTCTCAGGGAAGAACCAGTGTAATGGCAGTTTCTGTGAACTCATTAAGAGCTCTATGCCAGCACTCTGGAGACTCACTGGCAGATAGCTACATGTTCAGGCCAGCCTGGGCTAAATAGTGAAAATCTGTCTCAAAAGAAAAGCCTTATCCCCAGCGAGTGACTTGGCACTTTTTATAGCTGGCTACTATTCAAATCACATTGGAGTTGGATATGCCATTGTGTCTGTGACATGAAGGCGTTGGTCACAGGAAGACACCTTATTTCTCAAAGCTGTTGATTTCTTAATATTGAGTAGAAGAAATGAGGAAACAGTTGTGTACAGAAAGCTAGGGGAAAAAATCTCTTGCATTAAATTCATATTACTTGGGTTTTTAGTGTCTTTTGCTTTAGCTTTTCTGCAGGAAATCAAGATGAGTTGGCCAAGAACTAAGGTGGAGATTGAGGTAGAGGAAAATGAGTCACTTGCCTTTCAGTTTCTGAATCATCCCAAATACCCACAGCCAAGTTAACTGGTAAACTACAAGAATGAGTTGGTGCCTATGAGATTTTTACTGTTCTGGTAAGAGTACTTAAGGGCTGAGTCATTCCTGTAAATGACCGACTGTATGAGGACCATTCTTCCTGACATGATACTTGGATACACAGACTGGATATGGAGTAGTCAGATAGGAGAGGTGAGCAGATGTGGCTGGGGGCTTGCAAACCTCTGCTGACTCTTGAGGCCAAAAGTAACATCTCAGCTAGGGACTGGGGGTGGTCTTAGAGCCACCAAGCGTTCAGTGAGGCCACGCCCCTACTGCAGTTTGTGCCTGTCTGCACGTAGGAGGGAGGTCTGAACTGCAGTACCTCCGGTGGTCTCTGAGATGCCCCAACTTCTCCACTGAGGTCTGGGGATCTTGAGCCTCTTTCCCAAAGCCAGCTAAGTCTAAAGGAAGCTACATCCTTTCCAAACATTTTGACTTTAAGCCTCTTGCCATGCCCATTTTGGAGGAGTCCAAACTTCAGATTAAGAAGTAGGGAAGGGCTGGGTGTGGTGGTACGTGCTCTCAATCTTCACTCAGGAGGCAGAGGCAGGTGGATCTTGAGTTTGAGGACACCCCAAGCTCTGTAGAAGGGTTCGAGAAGTCAGGGGATGGAAGAATGAAATTATGGATTGAATAAAGTCAGAATACTTTTATTTTTGGAAAGTCTAAAAATACAAGTCAGTGTTGATGCTGAGTTGTGGGTGGTAGAAACGTGGGGTTTGGAGTTCCACTCCCCGTTGGGAAGAGGCAGTCTGCAGTCCTATAAAGGTCACTGTAGGCAGGCACTTTGGTAAGTAGGTCAGTGCTCTTGGACAGCTCGGGCTGCCTTCCCGCTTCAGTCCCCCTCCCCCACTGTGGTTCAGGGCACTCCTTTAAATGCTGAGCCTGCGCCTCCAGTTGTGGAGGCCATTGTGCATTCTGCTTACACCTAGTTCCCTGGGCTCCTAAGCCAGGGTCCAGAGCGTGGGCATCATTCCCAGAAACCCTGGCCGCTTAAACCTGCTAAGGAGGCACCATGTGCCAGCAGAACAGAAACTTCTCCCAAATCTCCTCCTTTTGGCTCAAATTAGTTCTCTGCTCTGCAAAGCTGTGGTGGAGGCTAGGAGATCCTTGGTACTGAGAACGAAGGGTTCCTTTGATCTGGCTTTCTGTCCTGAGGTAGCATGGTCTTCCTGGGTGAGGGTCCCATAATTCCACAAAAGAGTTTAAAGTAGGACTATTATAGTTCAGGGGGGGCGCACAGGAATTTAATTTAACTCCAACAGGTGGGCTTGAGTTCAGAATAGGCTGGTTTATTAATGCTAGGCCTTTCTGATAGAGAATTTGCTGAGGTTCAAGGGTAGACCTCCCCTGGGCATGGTAGCAAATGCCTTTAATCCCAGCATTCAGAAAGCAGGGGACAGACCGATGGCTCTCTTTAAGTTTTAGGGTAGCCAGGACTATATATAGTAAGACCATGTCTTAATAAATAAGCCAGGCAGTGGTGGTGCATGCATTTAATTGGGTGGCAGAGGCAGGCAAGTCTCTGAGTTCTAGGCCAGCCTGCTCTGTGGAGCTACCCTCTCTCCACACCCCAGGGTACTTTAATGGCAACAATGATTTAATTGGTGGAGTGAAGCCTGAAACTTTAGCCTGATAAGAGTGCCAGCTCTAAGAATCAGGGTGACATTGGGCATTTATTTTCTTATTTGTTTTTCTGACCTTTGTGCCTGACACGAGGGAAACAGATGGGAAGGGCAGAATCAAGGTGATCTGAGCTGGGCCTGTAGGCCACACTGAAACCTGAGCTGGAGTTTCCTTTCTCACAGAGGGGCAATGGCTCTGAGGAAGATACTGCTGCAGGGGCTCAGGCTCCAGAGTAAGGCTCCTGCCCCTGAGTACGCAGTTTGCTGCTGTCATTGGACATGCCAGGCTTCTGCTGCTGGCTGGAGGTTGGCTGTGCATGTGGGTGCCTCCTAAAGAGGAGGGTGCTGGGATGGGAGGGGCCGCGTGTCCTGGCAGGAACTACTGTACCAGTAGGCAATAGGGCAAGCCCTTCATTCATGGAGGCCCACCCTGCCCATGGAACCAAAGCTAGGGCTGCTTTCCTGGCCTGGAAAAGACCTCAAGGTATTCTATAAATTTATCGATCACATGGTTTGAGTTGTGGGGACCATGGGATAGGCAGAAGAGCCCTGGTCGGGGGCCAGAGTATTCCAGGTCAGAGCCTAGGAAGAGAAATAGCTCAGTGAGCTAGGGTCTAGATTGGTAGAGGACTTGAAACAATTGAGGTTTTGTTAGAAGTCTATTTAATTGTATCAATTCATTGATTCCATTGGCCACTTTATCTGGTAGCAAGATAGTCCATTCTGCAGACTTTAGGTTAGTTCCAGGTGGGGAAAATGCATTAAGTTGTGTATCTGAGGCAAAATAGTTTTTGAAATTTTACCTGCTAAATTGCATTTCCGGGCCCTGCAGGCAGCAGCCTTTGTCTATCAGAACATCCATGTCGGTACAAAGGTTGTGCTGTCAAAGCCTGAGAGCAGTCAAAGCAGGAAAAGAAAATTGCTGGACACTGAAGTGGAACTTACAGGTTTTGGTCATGAAATTTTTCCATGGGTTTTATTAGGAACGTCAATGGATGAAGGTGCCCTTCTTAGGTCAGTGAAGCCGCCCTGCGAGGCGCTCTTGTGACTGAAGGCAGAGAGCACACGTGCTTCCATTTTAGCAGAGTGGTCCTGAAGGGCGCAGGGCTGATGTGTGACTCTGCTTTACATGTAATTCCCATGAGCTTTATTAGGATGCACGGGAATAAATACATCATTTTCAAAAGCTGTTCACTTAATTTTCCCCTTTTTAAAGATTTATTTTTATTTTTTTAATTATTTTATGCACATTGGTGCTTTTGCTTTCATATATGTCTGTGTGAGGGTGTTGGATCCTGTGGAACTGGAGTCACAGACAGTTTTGAGCTGCCATGTGGGTGCTGGGAATCGAACCCTGGTCCTTTGGAAGAGCAGTCAGTGCTCTTAACCGCTGAGCCATCTCTCTACCCCCCTATTTATTTTTTTCACATCAGTTTTTGTTGATGAAGGAAATGATGCTGGGCACGGTAACATATGCCTTTAATCCCAGCATTAGAAAGGCAGAAACAGATGGATTTCTGAGTTGAAAACCAGTCTGGTGTATATAACATCTCCAGGAGTACATAGTGAGACAACTGTCTCAGAACAGGAGGGAGGGAGTGTTGTGATAAATACTGCCACCCAGGTAACAAGGTGGTTTTTTTTTTTTTTTATCCGCTATGAACTGGTGATTTTGACATTTATCCTCTTGAGTCTTTTTTCCTTTCATCATAAGGTGAAAGGCACCAGGCTTTTATATAAACTAGAGGTGGTGTATTCCTGTAATCTCAACCTTGGAAAGGCACTACACATCAAGTTCCAGGCCAGGAATGATAGTAATTATAGGTTTAAAGACACTTCACGGGGAGTCAGTCATGCCTGTGTGTGCTCTTAACACTCGGGAAGTTGAGGTAGGAGGATCTTTGAGTGAAACCAGCTTGGGATAGTGTGAGCCTCTGCAAGAGATAGAAGAAAACAGAGCAATGAGGGTCCCTGAGATAGCTCAGTAGTGAAGGAAATGGTTTCTGATGACCCTCATTCTATCCCCAGAACTCCTTGGTGGGAGGAGAAAGCAGAGTCTCTTAAGTTGTCCTCTGATCTTTGCATAGTGCCCACAACCCCCCCCCCTTAAAAAAACTAAATATCAATTTTTGGGTGTTGGGATAAAGTACCACAGGGGAGCCAGTAAGGGGTCACTTTTACCTCCAGGTTTTCATTAATTTCTCGGTGTGTGTGTGTATAGTGTAGCAGCTCTAAGCAACTTCTCCTGGTTATTAAGGTGATTACCACAGAGAACTTTAGTTACACTCAGCTTTTGCCTTAATCCTCAATCCTCATACAGCTCTCCAGGGCAAACTGTACTCAGATCTGAGCGGTCTTTCCAAGTGGGGCCAAGGAGCTGCCACCCTGAGTCAAAAAAACAGCAATATGTCACCGGAAGCCCAGGCCCAGAAGAGAAGCAAAGGTATGGCCTGATCATCAGTGGCCTCGGAAGGAGACACAATGACTCGTGGAAAGAAGAGCCGCCTGGTGGCTTTTGGGAAAGTGGGTTCAGTGTCTGTTCCACTCACTGACTGCATAGTTATAGTCCCATTGTGGTCACAGCAAGGCTTTCGTGCCTTGTTGACTAATGTGCAACCCATACTGTCCCCTCAGCAGCCTCCTAAGCATGGCTGGGAGCCCTGAGAGTTCCCAGCCATGTTTCAACCATGAGTAGACAAAGGAGCTGGGACATCCTCAGATTTGGGGAGACGGAAGAGGCAGAACTGATTTTTGACAGAGAGGTCTTAATGGGACTGAGAACAAATTCAACAAACACTGCAAGGTGCTGAGGGTTAGCCCAAGGAGATCCCGGAGGAGAGGTTGCCTCTTTGGGGGAGTTAGGAATGAACCATGTTGGCCACTGGCAATAGCTGAAGGTCTCATCCCTCCTTTAGTTTTAAATTCTGTAGTGAACGTAGGGGTGCCCCCTGTAATCCCAGCACCCTGGAGACGGGAACATGAAGACTGCCATGAGTTCAAGGCCAGCCTGGGTGACAAAGAATGAGAGCTTGTCCCGTGAAAAGTTTGCCATTTGTGTGGTTGAAGACATGGAGGCCTCTGTTTGCATGGGATCACTAGTAGGTTGCAGAGGTCCCTGGCTGTTGCCAGGTCTCAACAGGGTAACATGGATGAGCTTTATGTGCGTATTCTTCAGGCGTGCAAAAAGCACATAGTAGATTGAGGGCCCTTGACTGGGAGGCAGGGCAGAGAGCAAGGTAAGGAGGGGCTTATTGTAGAACTTGGGCTGAAGTCTTGAGGCTCTGGGGCTTTCAAAGAGCCCCTTGGTCTGAGAACTCTGGGTGAGAAGGATGCTCAATATTGCTCAAGCCTCTCAACATTTGTCAATACAGCGTGGAGCTTCTGCAGAGTTCTGTCTTCTAACCAGCTCAGTGAGCACTTAGTTGTAAGTCGGTAATAAAGTTAAAGCAAAGGTCGGTGCAGCTGTTGGGATTGTGACCTGGGTGGCTAATTGCCTGGAACGAATGCTCAGACTACCGGGAATGCGCTACCTACCACAGATAGAGGGGAAGTCCAGATGGTCAGAACTGGGACTGAGAAAGCCAGGTCTAACTCTGCACTTGCGAAGATCAAAGATGGTGAATTCAAGGTCAACCTGGATTCTGTGCCCTCTGAGAGTAGCTACTGTGTGCAATTCTGTTTCCAAGGTTACAGGCTACTCCTTAGTTGTAATGACTTCGGAGCTGTTCCAGTGCTCTTGTGTGCAAAGTTGGCTTTGTGTGTCTTGCAAACATTGCTGTTTTTTTGCTAAAGAATTCTGGGATTTTTGCCTAATAGAAGCTAAAGAATAAACTTAGCCAATGAAACCAGTGAAAACCTAGCACTCTGGAGCTAAAAAGGACTTGTTTGGGAGGATTTTTCTTCTTGCAGCGTTGGGAAATTTCTTCATGTATGTAAAGTGTTCTTGGTTGTGTTGGTGTGAAGCTGTCACAGCTGACAGCGGCTCATGTCTGAATCCTGCTCACACTGCTTCCCTGGGACTATGTGCATTGGATAGGAAGTGACTTTCATTCATTAAGGTCTTTGCTGTTTGCTCACGGTCACATGAGCCCTTTGCCCAATTTGAGGAGCATCCACATAACCAGCACGTGCCAGGCCTCTGTGACTTGTACCTAGAGCAACCGTATTGGGTTAATGTGTAAGTGGGAGACGGCCGCCTCTGCCAAGTGGCTCATTACACACGGCCCGGTCTAATTCACACTCTTCACCTCTCTGGGCCCCAGGACCTCAGGAACCATGCCGAAGCCACACAGCGAAGCAGGGACTGCCTTCATTCAAACCCAGCAGCTGCATGCGGCCATGGCTGACACCTTCTTGGAACATATGTGCCGCCTGGACATTGACTCCGCACCCATCACGGCCCGCAACACTGGCATCATTTGTACCATTGGTGAGTGTGGCCTTCCCCTAAATGGAGGCTTCCTGCCTCATTGTCTCCTGAAAAGCGAAACGATTACAAAGCTAATCTAGATTCTAAGTGGGGCGCTGTACACATTCCTTGGGGGAACAGAAGCCATGGGAAGCGGGCACGGAGAATTAGTATGCATAGTTTTCTGCAATAGGTGGAGTTCAGGGTGTCTTCCTTAGTGGGTCTTTGTAGGAGGATTTCAGACACCTCAGATAATCTTTGTTTTGATTTTTGAAGACTGGGTTTCTTTGTAATAAGCCTGGCTTTCCTTGAACTCACTTTGCAGACCAGTCTGGCCTTGAACCCACCTCTGTCTCCCAAGAGCTGGGATTAAAGGTATTCTCCCGGTCAGATCTTTCATGTGGTCTGTCTTAAGGGGAAAAACTGCCTGGCTCTTCCCTCCACTTGCCTGAGTATGTGGGGCCCTGAAGAAATTGTAGAAAATGGTAGTATTTCCCCTCATATCTAAATAAAAGTTGATTCTGTTAATTTTTGGAGTTAATGGTTAAAAAGCAATCAAAGGATGAAGAGTTTGGATGTTGAGCAGATTTTTGCACATTTTCCTGAGTGTTGCTTAGTCACTGTTTGTCGATAGGTCCTGCTTCCCGGTCCGTGGAGATGCTGAAGGAGATGATCAAGTCGGGAATGAATGTGGCTCGTCTCAATTTCTCTCATGGAACTCATGAGGTGGGCCTCAGCTGGGTTGCTGGGTTATTGATGGGAAACAGAAGGTGTGGTGTTCGTTCACGAAGCTAGCTTCCAACAGGTTTCTCTGGGAATGAGACATGGTCCTAGCCCATCCCTGATTCCCTCCCTCCTGCCACCTTTATTGGCCTAGACAAAGGCCTGCTTTGTCAAGGACGGGGCTGTCTCTGCCTTTAACCTTCACAAAAGGAGGCAGGAAGGGTTTAGCTGGAAACCCCTCTAGGCTATCATGTCTTTGCTCCACACATGATGTCCACACCTGAGGGTTTCTGCAGTGGCTCCTATGGGTCTGGTGAACAAAAGATCATACAGAAGATTGCTTCTGACCTAGTTCAGTCCCAAGTCCCAAGCTGGTTCGGCAGGTCCAGGGGGTTTCTACTTGAGGCTGAGTCTAGTGCCCTTCGGAGGAGAGAGGTAGGAATGCATCTGAGCTGGGGCTGGTCCTTAGATGTTCTGACTGATGCTGATGGGGGCCATACACAGGAAGCAGATGGCAGCTGTTAGAAAAGCCCATTTATTTGTTGGGCAGATGGAGGCATCTTACACCTTTCAAATACTTTTCATGCTTTGCTGTGGATTTCCTACTGGCATTGATGGAGGGGGGACAGTCCACCCTGGTTTTTTTAGGTTCTGTTCAGAGTGCTCTATTTTGCCCCCTGACCTTTGGGAGTTGTTTGAACTAAAAATAGAGGTAGAAGAGCAGTCCAAGAAGTGTGAACCCCTCATCCCCAGAACATGAGAACTCTTCATCATAGATGCCCTAACCCATATTCTATAAACAGCCCGATGAAGGCCAGCTCCCAAATGTCATGCATGGTGCCTAGCATAGTCCAGTAGGCACCTAAGCATTTGTGGGTATGGAACACATCCTTGTTAGGTGTGGTAGCATAAAACCTGAAGCAGAATTGAGTTCAAGGCCAGCTTGAAACCCTAAACGTAGCAGGGTCCTGTTGCAAACCAAAAAGAGGGAGAGATTGATGCTTTCCATGTTCCGCTGCTCTTGGCAGGAGCTACCTGGAATAAACTCAAGGGAAAGCCTAACCCAGAGGCAGAATTAGATCCACTTGCAAGCAGAGTCTGTGTGGTCTCTGGTTTGCAGGATGGGCAAAAATAAATTTGGGGACATGACCTTTAGGTTTCATGGCTCTTGAGTCCAGTAAAATAATACCACGCAGCTGAGATGGCAGTGGTACTAGTGAGGTCATCAAGACCTGGGTGAGGCCAACTCCAGCTCGACTTTTTTAAACTATAAGGCATTTGGAGATTATCTGTACTTTGAATCTTATTCATAGATTGATCTTTTATTTTTTTATTTATTTGTTGCCCTTAAATTTATTTTTAGGTTTTATACTGAGATGAGGTTAGCCCCTTTTGGGAAGCTGGTCTGAAGTTGTTCTGTTAGGACATGTGATTCAAGCAGCTTGACTGCGTGTCAGGTCTCTTACTGCATGTGTTCCTTCTGTGAAGAACCAGGGTGTGTTTTGCTGCAATCTTGGTGATTTAAGTACTCCTGGAGACACTGAAATTGCATTCCCTCCCTCTGACAGGAACATCTACCAGCTGCATGTGATCCTTTGGCAGCTTTGGCAGCCTCTTAATTGCACCTCTTGCTGTTCACATGGCGAGATGTGTGTTTCCCTGCTGAGCAGGCAGGGCAGTACTACCACACTGACTTTTAAATGGCCTAAATTTAGAGCCTTGAGAAGGAGGACACTGATGGGCACCAGTTGTCACCATTTGGGAACGCACCAGCAAAGTCATAGCTATGACAGTGGAAGATACAGTCACCTCCCAGAAGTGTAGCAAGGGCTAGCCATATAGAGGATTTTAATGATAGACCTCCCAGTGTTCTAGGTATTGGGATTATAGTGCAGTTTTATGCACGAGGCCAAGATGTGTGTTTGTTTAGGACACTTATGGGCTGAAGTGTGTAACTCGCTAAGCACAAATCTGCCTCACTTATACCTACAGAAATATCTTATGCCAGTGGGAAAGGTTGTAGGCCCTATAAAATAGATATTATCCAGCCATAATTCTTCAATGGAAATGAACTACTATAAGGAACTCTGTTTAAAAAAAAAAAACCATGGCAGTCAGTAGTCACTGTTGAAGGACTGGTTCTGTCTCTGTCCTTGTCTCCTAGAGATAACAGGCTTGCAGGTGTCTTTCCTGCCCACTGTGGTTAAAGGACAAAGCCCATAAAGTGATGTAATAAATGGCCCGTTATCAGTGGTGTCACATGGATCTGCACCATCCACAAATTCTTGGTCTGCCTTGGCTGAGTCCTAGGTAGAGAAAGGAAAAGTCCTTTGGGCAGCCCTATCGTTCAAACTATCAAAGGGCAGTTGTGTCAGAGATAGGCCACTGGTCACCGGTCGCATTTCTAGACCTGAGAAAGTGATTGTGAAAGGAGGTGTCTGTATGACTGAGCAATGAGCGTTCACCTTGGGCCATTGGTCCCTTAAGTCAACAACTTTGAGTTTGAATTGAAGTTGGGATCGATAATGGAAACAGACCGTCACAGACTGCCAGGGCAGACATCAAACACAAGTCTGGGTTTCTAGAGCCACTGAAGGGACAAACACAGCTGCTTTAAAAGCAGGTTAGGGTCACATTCCTGACTATTGGGTTTGGTGGCAGTATTCTGGAATGTTCCCAAGATTTGTATTAAGATGATGCTGTGGTAGCTGCCACCATGAGAGGTGGTGACGCTGTCATAGAAGGAAGTGTGTACTGCTAAGATTAGGGGCAGGGAAGATTAGGCTTTAGACACTTGTGATCTGACAACTTGGTAGAGAATAGGAACTGGAGTCAGGTATGGGAGGGCACCTGTCAATCAGTCTCCCTTCTTTATCCAGTACCATGCGGAAACTATCAAGAACGTGCGTGCAGCCACAGAAAGCTTCGCCTCCGATCCCATTCTTTACCGGCCTGTAGCTGTGGCTCTGGACACAAAGGGGCCTGAGATCCGGACTGGACTCATCAAAGGGGTGAGTATCCTAGGAAGCCAGGCGTGCCATGGGTGCAAGCTGCCCTGCCTTTCTGGTGGCTTTCTGGCTTCTGACTCTCTGGGTGGGTGTTTTAGAACTTAGGTCTACAAATGATGGGGGTTTGAGTGTTGGTGTTTTGTGTGACTGTGCATCACATCCCCTGGAACCAGAGTTCATGCGTGTCTGTGAAGTGCCCGATCTTCTGCGTGAAAAATAAGTGCTCTTCATCTCTCAAGCCCTGAGTGAGAGTATTTTATTCCTTGCCATTTTCATCTGCATAGCTAGGAAATATTATGTATCGAGGGTATTATTGTTTTTTTCTTAAGGTTTCCCAGTGATGAACAGGGGTTTTTTATTGTTTTTTTTTGAGGGGGGGGTGTTTTTTGGTCCTATTTCCTCAAAATATACAAAGGCAGCATAAGAATTTATTCAGAGGAAGAAGGATTCTCGGTGATGAGCCGGGGTTTGAGCCTCCTGGTCAGGAGTGCCGCCTGCTGCAGTTCACACCGCATGTGCTGTCTTGACTCTACAGAGCGGCACTGCAGAAGTGGAGCTGAAGAAGGGAGCTACCCTGAAGATCACCCTGGACAATGCCTACATGGAGAAGTGTGACGAGAACACCCTGTGGCTGGACTATAAGAACATCTGTAAGGTGGTGGAAGTGGGCAGCAAGATCTACGTAGATGATGGGCTCATTTCACTGCAGGTGAAGGAGAAAGGTAGGCCTGGGGCAGTTCCCATCTTTGTAGAAGCACTCCCAAGCATGCATGAAGGCCTGGCTTCCATCCCCAGAGGATCTGAAGTTTATTCTTTGTGTCCCTGGCCCATCTGAAATACTGTCTCAAAAGCCCAAAATGCCACCAAGGGCCAAGTGTTTGGTACACGCCTTTTTAGCCTTCAGTCCTGGCACAGTGGGAGGTGGGTCCCAATATGGCATTTGTGATACTCCTGTGTCCCTTTGAATGCTAATTAAAATCACTTCTTGGTGATTTGTTTAAGTGGTTTTTAGGTATTCGTGGTTAAATTTGTTTTTAAGAAAGGATTTTCTGTAGCCTGAGCTGAGATTAACTGAGGCTGGCCTTGAACTCCTTTTTTTTTTTTTTTGGTAATATAATTTTTTTTTATTGAAAAACAAATTTCCGCCTCCTCCCCGTCTCCCTTTTCCCTCCCCCTCCTCCC